TGTTTTAAAATGGCTTAGATAGGAAAGATGCGATTTTCGTCATAGTATCACTTTAAAGCACTAGAGGGTAGAAAAGACCCAGAGAAACATGGCAGTATTGACTGATAGAAAAGAGAGAACATTGACATTCTCACTTGTGTAGACAAGCAGATGGTGCTGCTGAGGGTTGATCTGTTTGAAAGAGAGAATCAATAATTGAATCTCTTAACAGCACCTCAGGGAACTACATCTTAGGGAATTGTACACAAGATACACTTGATGCCCATATAAATTAACTTTACACCTGAAATAGATCTTTAATTGAATAAAAAACAATAAAGCATGAGTGGTGATAAGGCTTGAGGAGAGTCTCAAAATAGTTCATATCTGAAAAAAAATCCTGGTCAAATGTAGCATGTAGAACAGGCTGTCAACTCTTTTAACAAGTGATCTCAAGTAACCAGTCACAAAAAACTGAAGTAAACTGTTGGACAAGCGTAAAAAATGATGTGTCCACAGGCAGGATATTTTTACTTTCCTTTGCTTGCTTGTCAGTTGCAACTCGCTTTTGTATTTTGTTCCACACTGTGCTTTACTAAACTACCTGTTCTGCAGGCTAAGTCAAATGTAGTAAAGAGTACCAAACAAGACTCTTTTTGGCATTTTTATTGATCAGGTTACAAGGCTAAAATAATATTCATGAATTTTTCATCAACTACAGCTGTAGCTAGACATACAAAGGCTATATATGATTGGAACATGAACAGGAACAGAGCAATAAAAACAAGACTTGAAAGACAGCTAGTTGCATGAGGTATATGTGTTACCTTGTTTTGTCTTTCTTTCAAGTCTTTTATTGAGGCACTTACATCACTACTCCATGCAATTTACCCTTTACTATGCACATTAACCTTTGACAATGGAGTTTTTGTTTGTTTTGTGAGGAAATGCAGTAAGATTGAAGGATGCCAAGCCAGAGTGACAAGAAAGGAAGCCGGGTAGCATATATATTTTGATACGAAGTTGCCCACTATTGTACTAGTTTTCATTTAACAACAACACTACTTTTCCTTGCATATTGGCATTTAAAACATATGAAAGTATTATTAATCTTAAAATATTTTCCCCCTTTTAAATTATACATATGAAATAAAACTTACAAAATGTAATGAAACATGCAAGAATAGTTTTATGTTTTTTTTTCCTGTAGTAAAAATTATAACATTTCATTTCATTAAAAATCTACATTCTCTAAAGATGGTAAGTAGTCAACTATTATTGAATGGTGTATATACAGACTTGATACAAATTCCTTGAAAACAGGACATATTAATTTGCAACAGTTTGGCACTGTGCAGTTCATGGCAATATTGAAGTTACCAACAACTAACAATTTGATTGCTAACAAAAGAAACTGGAACAAGTGAACAAACGCATATAAGTTGATAACAATGAAGATAACAGTACTGTGCTCATCATACAGTAATAAAATACTTCTTTTCATATTGGTTGAATGCTGACTTATTTTAGCCTTCGTTGCTGCCACTCCCTTTACCGCTTTCTTTTCCGTTTTATTACATCCTCTACCATCTTTTGGGTGTTTGCCAGGTTTTCAGATTGTCTTCTTAGCTCATCTAGTTGTTCACCTATGGTTCTAGTTCGTTCCTCCATTACCAATCTTTGAGCAGCCTGAAAAGGGACAGCAAGCCATGCAGTGCCAAAACAAAGCTTCTTAAACGATTACGATTTCGATTGAGAAGATATATCAAACACGCGAGACAGTGTTTCATCGGCTATATTCGTCAAAAATACTCCGCTGCGCATTAGATGTTCAACTCTCTTCTCGGTGTTTGGACATCCCGATGAAACACTGTCTCTTGTGTTTCATATATTACTTCCATACCTTGGAAGTAGGGTTTTGTGTCAAAGATCAGAGGATCTTTACAAGGTACAGGTACAGTATCTATAATTTTACAGTGATTACAATTTGTTACTGTGTACAACAGACAAACTAGAGGACTCGCATATATCAGTAAGACATAAAATGTCAGTAATAATTTATTTACATGCTTATGCCCCTTTCCCTGTGATTTTAACCAAAATAAATTTTATTTAAAATATACTTAATTTATTAAATACTTTTCTTTAGTCTAAATGTTACTTACCAATGCACCCAGACGATCAGTTAAGTCTCTTTCTTCCTCCTCTTTCCTTGCTTTCCTCTTCCTTGATTGTTCCTAACACACAAGACAAAACAAGTGGCCTTTAGACGTTGCCTGAATATGACTCACTTCTGTGAAACAAGTAAAGGTAAAACAGCTTCATAATGAGATGATCCAGCAGCACTTTGATTGTACAAGTTTTTTTAAATTACATCATTCAGGATTATAGCGCTAAACATAAATTAATCAAAAAATAGGTGGAACATTAAGAGCTTAGATCCATGATCCACCTCAGGCAGAGGTTTAACTTTTTTAAACTGAAACTCAACCTTGACACTGCATGCTAAAATGCTAAGAGAGTTCTGAGTGTTCATAGGAGTTACTTTTGAAGATTTTTCACTTGAAAAATACAAAATGAGCAACTTTTATTCGCTGTTTACTGCAGATTCCAAAACATAATATTAATAATATTATTATTATCAGTTCCTAATCCCAACACTGTTAAGACTAAAGACTCGGTTTCCTTCTGAATCAATGGGGGTTGATGAGACACAAGCTAAATTTTCTAATCCACATATCCTCTCACAAAGAACAACAATTACTCCAGAAACTTCAACCAAAATTAAGTTCCTGGATATATTTTTTTATTATGAAATGAGTTTGACTAAATGACATTGTTTTGCTTTCTTCGTGTTACAATACCTCTCGTCTTTGAACAGCCTCTGGGGAGAAGTAATGAGAGCACATTTTTGAATTTTTGTTGTGTCCCACTTCTCCACAAGCTCCACACTTTGGTCCCATTGGCTTGTCACAGCTGCTTTTAAAATGACATGAATCTCTTGATTGTGAAGGTGTAACAGAAGGTGAATGAACTTTAGATGATGGCTGCATTAGAAACAATACCATCAAAATGAGACATCTACATGAACATTCTTTCAACAAGTTGCCAGTTTGTGCTGTACCTTCAAATAACAACTTCAAAACTAACAACACAATAGTTGATCATACAATTCCCAATTCAAGTCAATTCTCTATTATTCTCTAACTGCAGTAATTTCTCCTATATGCCTGAAGACTCACAATATATGGCTTAACCCAAACCCAGAACTCCCTTCCCAGGAGGTTGCTGACTATGTGGCCTTTTCTCTAGAGGAAAACCTCATTCATGTTTAGGTCAAGTGCTTGCCCTCACTTAAAAACCAGTTGCTACCAGCCTTTGGCACTATCAGTTGCATTTTGCTGTTGTTCTCATAACACACTCTCCAAGTCGGTAAGACACCAGGCTCTTTGGCCTTTAGGTTATTTGAAACCTTGAAGCCATCACAATCCACTGTGGACAGTCCTAACAGTCAAAGATCTCTCACATAGACAGAAAAGGAAATTTATCAAGCAATTGTTGTTCATCTGCATCACACAATAACCTTAGTTTACAATGTCTTGCATCTGTGAATGACTATTCCCACTCAATACAGGGTTCGTACCCTTTTTCAGAAACAAATTTCCAGGACTTTTCCAGGACTCAGACTGATTTATCCATGACTCTAAAATTCACATTACCCCTTTCACTCCCAAGATCTCAGTGTTAATTCTCCTTATTGACTGCCATACATTACATATTTTTCACTTGAGTTTAACAGATTTCCAGCACTTTCCAGTCCTGGAAAATGCCACAAAAAATCTTAAGACTTTGAAGGTTTTCCAGGACCTGTACAAACCCTGTTCATAGCAACAAAGGTCATTGCATTACAGTCAAACTGATAACAGCTTCTCCTTCAAGGCTGGTTTAACTGTGGGACCCGGTTGAACATGCCACCTGAGAAGAGGGTGGTAAAAAAGGGCTAGAGTAGCCAGCCACCTTTTGCTGAAAGACCCTGGTGAGACTGAACTGTACCTAGCATGTTTCAGTCTTCACAGGATTAGTATTTATCATATTTGGCTGAGACAATATCACCAAGGCAAGCAACCAACACAGCAGGAAACACAAGAGTTTTAACTTCAACTGAAACATACCCAGAACCTAGACATACCAGGAACAAATCTCCTAGTTATGCGAGATGCTTCTCAAAGTCACAAC